ATCAAACACCTTCTCCTTGCTGCCTCCTCTCTGAAGGGCAGTCGTGCGTACCAACCACTACGGTCTGTTGGGAGATTGGTGGGCATCTCCTGATGAGACAGGGTTCGGGGTAATGCGTTTTACAGACGTTACATCTGTATTTAGTTGGATATCTTTTCGAAGGTTGAAGTGGTCGGCGTAGGCAAATAGGTAGTCTCGAACCTACGCAAAATATCACGAAATCGAGGTTTTAATATAAATCTGAAGATAACGTTTACATTGCATCAGGTTTTATATAAATTACACTGTTATTGTTGTCAAGTCCGCTATTATTTTTAACTAGAACCCAACAATACACACCTCTTTCCAATGTATAAATTTCTTCGAATCCGAAGGGAAGGGAAAGTCAGGGAATTCCATCACATCCGTAGGTAGGTTGGTGATAAGGTTCTTGTAAATACTTGAGTGTACTGGGAAGCCATCTTCAGTCAGCCCTGTCCTCTCCGTGTACACCCACGTACCTCCTAAGTAAGGCAGGTGCAATTAAAACCACTGTACTAATGATCAACCTGCGTGTAAGCATCCTGAAGTGCCGCGTAGAGGATGGGGGGGAAATGTTAAATGAACTTCCTATCTTCTTTATAAACGATGGGCAAGGAATAGGATACCCACCCACATATCTCCGATTCGATATCTGCTGATATGGCATACGTTTACCATAATTATGGCATATATGCATTTCGTTTGCATACGTCACGCTCTACGTTACGTATCGCAGTTAGAAGTATGCCACCACATCTTGCTTATTTTGTAGTAAACGCAACTAGGCCAAACATTGCCTTAATTTTATTCATATACTCACCGATGTTATCTCTACGTTCGTAAACCTCGAAGTCGAAATCTTGCGGTCGTGAGGCAAGCATGCGGGCAGCAATCAACCCTGACGGCCCAGCTCCAATCACAGCCACTCGTAATGGTGCCATACTAGATGTTCAACGTATAATATATAATATTTTTTACGTGTATTGCTCAAAATAATACATGCTTGAACTTAATTAGGGCATATAAGTTTGTTATTATGTGCAATGATCATGTGATTACGCCGTTGTCTATGCCCCTTATAATCAGGGTCCTTAGTGCAAAATATGGGCCGAATCGTTACAGGAGGGACAAAAATCTCAAACTTGGCACAGTTGTAGCTTATGGCAGTACTATAATTATTAGAGGGGGTGCCCAATGCAGATATTCCTTAGAAGGGAATTACAGATGATTTAATGTTCGAACCACCCGACTCCGAACCCCCTTACCGCGCCCGCCTGTATACAATGCCAATACATGTACCAGCTGTACAATGCATAGAAATAGAAAGACAACATGTCTATCTATTTCTATTATTACCGCTCCTGATCGTAACGGCCGCTAGAGGGCCTACTCACCAGAGTTAGTGTAGGGACCCTAAGTTAGTGTAGCGAGGTCACTAGCACCGTCAGTGTAGCGAACGCAGTCAAACGTAACATGACGACTGGTATTATACAGGTTATGTAGTGTGCGGAACATAACGACTGTATTATACAGGTTAGTACCAGCTGTACAATGCGCCAGTACACTGACAGAGAACAGGCGGGCGCGGTAGGGGGGTTCGGAGTCGGGTACGTGGTTCGAACATTTAATCATCTGGAATTCACTTCTGCGCGCATATATTTGCTAATATATTGACTAATCGTGCGTCAATAAACTCAATATTAACAAATATTATAGCTAAGACATGTGTCTATAGGTATCTAAATTTCTAGAAATGTAACTCAATTCGTTCGCGAGATATGAGAGTTAATACACTTGCCTGCCGTCTATAGCCGTGCGTATATTAGCCTATATGAGCGATACCGCGCGCATATATTTGCTAATATATTGACTAATCGTGCGTCAATAAACCCAATATTTACAGAGATTATAGCTAAGACATGTATCTAAAGGTTTCTAGAAATGTAACTCAATTCCTTTGCGAGATATGAGAATTAATACACTTGCCTGACGTATATAGCTGTGCGTATATTAGCCGATATTAGCCTATTTGAGCGATACCGCGCGCATATATTTGCTAATATATTCACTAATCGTGCGTCAATAGACTCAATATTCACAGAGAATAGTGACTATACAGAGAATATAGCTAAGACATGTGTCTATATGTATGTAGATTTCTAGAAATGTAACTCAATTCGCTCGCGAGTTATGAGAGTTAATACATAGCGTAATGGCGTAAGCGCGGGGGGAGAGGTTACCAGCTGTACACAATGCGCCAATATAGGCGGGCGCGGTTTGAACATTTAATCATCTATAATTCACTTCTAAGGAATATCTACATTGGGCACCCCCTCTAATATTTATAGTACTGCCATAAGCTACAACTGTGCCAAGTGTGATGCTTTTGTCAGCTCTGTAACGATCATGATGCTGTTGTACTGCGAAGATGTGAGGACTTTGGATTCTCGTAGCGTCGACAGCGTAGAAGGTAGAGCGTTGTTTCGTTAGCAAATGGTAGAGAAGTTAGCAGCAGCAGCGTAGACCTATAGTCACAGATTCTTGTTTCACTAGTACTTTATTAGCAACTACACATACAAAATATATATATACATACTACAGCCTATAGGCAACCATGCCTAGGCTCTGGCGCCTCGCCTCGATCTCGCTCTGACTACATAGTGTCTCTCTATATCTTATATCTTGTCTCTTTTTGCTTGTCAAATGCTGCTTATATATATCGGCTCAAAACCGGATCTAGCATAAACTCGTCTGTCAAAACCAGACCCTTGCTGGAAGCAAGCGATGCCCGCTCGTAGGTGCATGCGTCGTGTCACTTATTTTCTAGCGCAAGGCGGATGCGGAAGGCGCGCCCGTCCATTGTCGCGCGCCGCGTCAACCACTCCTGTGTACATGTCCCATGTACATGGGCTAGGTGTCAAGCGTCGCATTCCGTTGCCCCCGCTTGTCAATTTAATACTGGCATGAGGTGCGACATGCTGAATACAATAATGCTAAGGGACCTGACTATTACGTAAGAGTTAAGGTATATATAATATACTGATCGTAATATCATCGTTTTCGATGTACTTTATCTTTACATCGACAGGAATTGTTTAAATTTGGTTATTCCTAACAGCTCGTGTAGTTTTTCTCAGGAAA